AAAGAAGCTGAAGCTTCTTGCCAGCATGTCTTTTTATATTTTTGGTTATCATGATCAAAGAAAACGAGAAAGGAGCGTGACCAACTACTGGTTTGCCCTTATGACTATCTGCAGGTAAGATGATTATTACTAAATCAGTGTTAACACTGAACCAATATTATCAAAGCGAGCTTGTTCATCCAACGCAGTAATTAATTCTGTTGTTCAAAGTCAGTTAATCTTAATCAATTTCCTAATATTATTAGAATTGAACTTTTTAATATTAGTGTAATAATTCTTCTGGAATATACAAAATCACATATACTAGATCATTTATTAATTTTAATAGGTATTCATAATGACCATTTATGTTTTATTAAATTAACTTTTTATATATGTATTAAGGTTATTCTAAGGAGTAATAATAATAAATAAAATGTAAGTATGAAAAATAAGATTGAATTTTCTTCTAACGATGATGGATGATGGTGGGGCTATCTATCAGTGGAATTTGTGAATTTACTTCTTTTGTAATTCTAGTGACATAATTTTTGATACATCATCAATAGAATATAGTCTTTTGATTAATTTGATAAATTATAGTAAATTCAATATTGAATGATCCATACAATTTTAGGAGATAGCTAAGAAACTGCAAATAGTTTAAGTGATTACGTTCATTCAAAATATTCTTTAGTATTCCGCTGATTGACATCAGTTCCGAAGATTTAATTTTACTTTTCCATGATTCTTTGATCTCGGTATTTAGTTTTGTTTGTTTCAATCGACAGAAATTCTGCAAGCAAATTATAATATTGAATATTTTGAAGTATAGTGGAAATAGTAGAAAAACTACTTTCGGATAACATTTTGGCATTTGGACTTGATATTCTTAATTGCATTCGATTGTTGCGATTTCTACAAACTTCAAGGAATCATCTGTTGCTTGCATTTTGAATTTCATGGAGAAATTAATAGGTAAATGTTACTTGAATCAAAGGCGATATTTTTATTGTAGGTCAAAATCCAATACGTTCACTAAAATTTATTTATATTGATTCCCGTAATATATATTTAGAATACATAACGTAAATTTGGAATTTAAAATGAAATATGTTTAATGTTAATATTATCAATTAAATTTTCAATGTGTGAATGAGGAAATGCAAGGTATACATTTAAAAGCATCATTTAGATATTTTATTAATAGCCAAATTTCAAGATCTACAGGGTAATCCATTTGGGTGAGGCTAAATATCTTTTCCAATTGTAGTAATCCAAAAAATATTTTTTATCTAACATGAATGGTAAAGGCCAAGAATATTTTTTCGAAGGTCGTCTCTTTTCAAAGTCTTTTCAAGGTTAATGATATTTTTCCCCTCATAACTATATATATAGTTATATATAGTTATAGATATATATGGGGAAAAACATATCAGTAATCTTGAAAAGTCCTTAAAAAAAGGATGACCTTAAAAAGTATTCTTACCAGTTATTGGCTTTTTTTTCGATAGCATTCATGTTAGATAAAAAAATATCTTTTTGCGTCATTACAATTGGCAAAGATATTTATCTTAAATGGACCACCTTATATATTATCGATCCTTATATATTTGTGTTTAACTGTGATTTTTTTGTTAGCCAAAAAAAGATAGATCCTAGCATTAGAAATTCTTGAGGCAAAACGAATATTCTTTAGTTAGAAGAGATTTTGTACAGTTCGCAATCTTTTATGATGATTGCTCGGTTATTCTTCAGAAAAAGATTGTTTTGAGTAATATTTGGAACTTCGGTAGAAGAAGTTGGTGGTGATTACTCCTGTAATTGAAGATCATCTTAATGTCTTTCTGCAACTTTTACGTGAATGCGCACATATACAGAGCAAAAATAGAAAAAATACATATCATTATTACATTATTATATGA